GGTGGTGGTGAAATAGTTCTGCAACCTGATTGTGAGGCTGGTTACACAAATCAACACGTGTGATAAAAATGCCATAAAACAAATACAAGTTGTATCAGTATCAGTTTTTTGGTTTTAATAGTGTACTTAGTCACATAAGATGTAACCTGCGAGAAATTGGGTGAAGGGTACATGCAACCTCTCTGTGCTATCTCTGCAACTTTCTGTGAAATCTGTAATTATTTCCAGATACAAAGTTAAGAAAAAGAAAAGAAATGAAAAAAAAAAAAAAAAAGAAAGACAGAAAGAAAGAACCGCAGCTTTGTCGAAAACAGACACTGGGGACAAGGGCAGAAATAGGAAGACCAGATAGGAGAGACAACTGCAATAATCAGGGTGAGAGATGATGACAGGTTAGGTCAGGAACACAGCAGTGAAGAAGTTAAACAAATAGCTCAATTCTGGACATACTTTGAGAGTAAAACAGACAGGATTTGCTGATGGTCAGGATCAGAGTCAAAGAAAAAGAGGACTCAAGGGTGAAGGTGTCTGATTTGAGTACATAGAGGGACAGAGTTCCCAACGACTGGGATGGGGATAACTATGTCAAGAGGAGATCAGAAGCAGGGTTAAGGACAGGAATTTGAGTTTTAGACATCTTAAGTTTGAGGTGTCTCTTAGACTTCCCCATGGAGACACCAAAGAGGACTTCAGATATCTGGGTCTGTGGTCAGGGCTGGTAGTAGAGATACATATATTTCATGACAAGGGACTAGATGAGGTTGCCTAAAGAGGGGGTATAAATGAAGAGATGAAATAGTCTGAGGACTGTACGCGGGACACTTAAATATTCAGAAACCAGGAAGGTGGGGAAAAACAAACATAACTGAGGAGAGGGCGGTGTGGCTAGAAGAACCAAGAGAAAGTAATGATCTACAAATCAAATGAGAAGTAGTATTTCATGTCAGAAAAAGTATGTGACAATGACAAATGCTGTTGAGGATACAGGGCACCAGGAACTTTTCATACACTGCTGGTCAAAGTGTAAACGGATATATATAACCATTTACTAGATCATATCCTAGCCTACAGTAACTCCTGGATATACACCCCAGGAGGCATGTACAAAAATGCTCACAGCAACAGGTGGATGCCAACAAATGAAAAGACCTCAAATGTCCTGCAAAAGTAGACGGGTAAATTGTAGTACATTCATAATGGAAACTATGTAGCTATTAAAATGAGCAAAGGGTAAACTGTAGTACATTCATAATGGAAACTATGTAGCTATTAAAATGAGCAAACATAGCTATATGCAGCAACATGAACTTATCCCAAACAATGCTTGACAGAAAGAAGTCAATCACAGAATTCAGTTTGTTTCCCTTTCTATGAAGTTATAGGCAATGTCAAATTGTTTATGAAAGCATATACAGGTGGGAAAGCTATACAGAAAATCAAGGAAATGACTATCGAAAAGTCAGGAATGGTTAGTTCATGGGGCAAGGAGGTGATGTGGAGAGATAAATAGGTGTTTTCTGAGAAGCTAACAATATTGTTTCTCAACCAGGGTGGTGACTGTATATAATTTTTTCAATCATTTTTTAAGTGGTATATGTTTTATACCTTTATGTATACATGAAATATCCTAGCAAAATTAATTTGGGAGAAAAAAACAGTGCTCATCTGAGTCAACTGTGGCTAAAAATTCAGCTAAGATGAGGACTGAAAACTAACTGCTGAGTATAGTAACATGAAGGTGACAACAGAGACTTTGGTAGAGCGGTGAGGAAAAAAGCCTGATTAGAATAAGTTTTTTAAAAGTGAAGAAAAGGAGATGGGGCGCATGGGTGGCTCAGTCAGTTGGGCACCTGACTTCAGCTCAGGTCATGATCTCACGATCCATGAGTTCGAGCCCCACATCGGGCTCTGTGCTGACAGCTCGGAGCCTGGAGCCTGCCTCTGATTCTGTGTCTCCCTCTCTCTCTGCCCCTCCCGCTCACACTCTGTCTCTGTCTCTCTCAAAAATAAACAAACATTAAAAAAAAAAAAAAAAACAACTTTTAAAAGTGAAGAAAAGGGGAAAAGAATAGGCCACCCTTGAAAAAGTACTTATAAAGGGGAACAGAAAACGAGACCCTGTTGGAGGGGGCTGCAGAATCAGGGAGTTTGGTTTCATCTTTCAAATGGGAGATATTACAGCAAATTTTTACACTGATAAAAATGATCCAGTAGAACGGGAAGAGTTGATGCTAGTAAGAAAAGAGAGAATTATTGGAATAACGTCCACTTGTAGGCAAAGGGGATCGGATAAAGTAGACAAGCAGAAAGATTGGTCTTAAGAGTCTGGACAGTCTATCCACAGTCAAGGGAGTTTATCCAAAGTACATGAGTCCTTTGAACAAACCAAGTCATCAGATGAGAGTGAGGTGTTGGAAGAGGAAGTATGAAATGAGAAAAGGTGTAAAACTGTCATCTAGGACAACTGGAGAACTCTAGAACTTACAGGAGGATTGCCAGATACACAAATGGTCTATTTGCAATAGACCTAAAAGGGAAAAAGTCAAGGTGACTGTATTTTTCCCCCAATGATGTTCAACAGCCTGGTTCCAGCAGAGTTGGATTTCCCCAGTTAGAACTGTGCCAAGAAGAAAGGATCAAGGAAGTGAAGGCATGTGCTAGGGAGTGATCATTATGATGGGCCACTGAATCTAAGCAGAGAAGGGACAGAAGAGAACATCAGGAAGGTGAAGGACGCTGAGAAGGCAACAGAATCAATGTTGAGGCTCAATAACTGGAGCAAGGGTACCAGAGCGATGATAAGAGGCAGTTAGAAAGAAGGATTCTTGAAAATAAGATTATGGAGAGGGTACAGTTATTGAAGACAGGTCTAGGGTATGTCCACAGAATGGATAACTCAGGTAGGGTAGAAGACAAAACGTGTGTGGGAGAGGAAATCAAGGAATTGAGAAGTCAGAATTTTGGAAAAAATCGACTGAGTGCATCGTGAAATCACCAAGAATTACAAGAATAAAGTGTGAATGCCAATGCCAGGAAGCTAGGTGCTAAAAACATGAAGATATGAGGAAGAAGACCATAAGGGTCTGGAGGCAATGGCCACAGTCCCTTCCTCCTATAGCTAAGGCACAGACAGGTAAGTGACTGCCAGGCTCATGCAGCTAGTAACTGATAGTGCTTGAGTGGAAACACTTGACAGTCTGGTTCTATTTTAAGCTATAAATTGACAGACCAATAGTTGCCAAACTAATGAGAAAGACCTTTAAAGTTAAAAAAGAAAAAAACCCAACAAAGTCACATAGCAGTAGATACACTTTTACTATCTAGTGAAAGATAAAAATACAAAACCAAAAGAGCTGCTATGAATTCAGTAATTCAAACAAAATTTTCCATACTAATCACAAAAATCTCTAAAGATATTTGAAAATTCTATTCAATCCACAGACAGTGCTTAATGTCACATGGCTATGTGAATCCTTTTCAAAAACTCTTTGCTGCTGTGTGAGCACCCACTGGAAGGTGTCTTTCATTGCACAAATACTGAGCACTGGTTGTTTTGTTTTGTTTTTTCTTAATGTTTATTTATTTTGAGAGAGAGAGAGAGAGAGAGCACACACGTGAAGGGGTAAGGGGGCAGAGACAGAGAGGCAAGAGAGTCCCAAGCAGGCTCCACACCGTTAGCTCACAGGGCTTGATCTCCTAAACCATGAGATCATGACCTGAGCTGAAATCAATCAAGAGTCAGATGCTTAACTGACTGAGCCACCCAGGTGACCCTTGAGCACTGGTTTTTAAGTTATACAGTAGGACCTGGAGAACTCCTTACCTCTGAGGGGTTTACAGCATAAGGCAGTGATTCTCAAAGTTTTAGTCTCAGGATCCCCTTATCTAAAAAAAAATTTCTGGGCACTCTAAGAGCTTTGTTTTGTGGGTTATACCTATCAATATTTAGCATATTAGAAATTAAAACAACTTTAATACAAGAGTATACAAAAAACATCCCATTAAACATCAGAGAGATGATGCCATCACATGTCACATGCAGTCTCTGGAAAACTGCACACTATGGGACAAAGGAATGGAAAAGACCCAAAAAAACAAAACAAACAAACAAACAAAAAGCCTTGGTGCTATTATGAAACAGTTTTGGTTTTGTGGACTCTCCCTGAAAAGTCGTTTAACCCCTGGAATTCTGCTGTCTAAATAAACAGACTGGGCCATTACACTACTTTTGTCCTATAAAAATTATTAGAGTAATATCCATTGTGGGAGATGGGCTGGGTCCCAAGTGAAGAACAACAGTGGCCAACATCCTACTTTCTAGTATAATAGGAGATGGGGGATGGGGAGAGAACATCTATTGGGGCACCATGAGGTGATAAGTGATTCACATTTGAGTATCTGCTATATAATCCAGGCACTGAGTTAGGCATTTTAATCTGACATCAGACAATAAAGTGGAGGTAATAACACTACAGAGAGAGAGAGATGAACCCGTTGCTCAAGGCTGAAAGCTAGTAAATTAGTGGAGGTTTTAGCTGGAACCTAGGCCATATTAGGTTCAAAACTCTGAGTTTAGACACATTAGGTCAAACGGAATAGTGTACTGAATTTTTCAGTATACTTTTTTTCTCCTCCTCTATATCTTTCTCTTTCTTAGTTACACAACACTTCCAAGCGTGACAAAGATCAAACTGGTCAGTGACAGTGGTAACGCTGCCTCCTAGTTTACGGCTTTTCTTCTTCGACCAGGGGTTCTCAAAGTGTGGTTCCTAAATCTATGCAGTAAAGTGGCTTGGAATCTGGTCGACATAGCTAAGTGAGTTTGTCACTAGTAAGAATAAATGATAGCAAGCTAAGTCACTGATGGGACAAAAGAAAAGAAAGTCAGGAAGAAAAGCAATACATGACTTGCATTAACAATAACACTCCCTTAGCTCTAACAAGCGATGCATCCCATGAACATCACCACTGCCCACGTCCAACCCCAGTAAAACACTCACCTTCTTTATCAGTAACTGACCAGGAATATTTCTGAAAAGGTTTACTAGATGGAAGGGGGTCCATCTCCAGCACTTTATAAATCTGGCCAAAGGCTGATAGTCTGAGTGCATGCTAAAGAACAAAAGATTATGTTTATTCACATTTTAATGGCCATTCATAAAGCCCTTATGACATTTAAAGACATTCATTAAATGCTATCCTTATGATGGCAAAAGACCCTAGTAACAGATGAGAAGTAAGTGTTTAAATAGAACACTTCAGAAAATAAAGTTATGATATCTCTCTAATAGATCACTGTGACATGCCCCATCTTCTACCTGTGCACTGTGGGTAATATCTTCCTTTTGCTGGATGGTCATATAGCTCAAAGCATCTGTTGGGTCTCGCTCACAAGGATCATGAAGACCAGGACCACCTTTGGCAAGGGCAAAAGAAAAACACAAGAACCATTTAGAACTGAGTTTAGAATTCCATGAACTAACACAAAAGAGAGAAAAGAATGGAAAGAAAAAAAAAATAGCTGAGGAACTAGGTTAAAAATCTGCTCAATTAAATGGAATAAAAAGGACACTCTCTCATTTTCAATATGTTAACACTCAAATGTCCTTATTTTACTGGAAGTCACTTGCATCTAACGACAAAATTGGGTCTTACTCTGAGAATTTAGAAACAGCATGATGAACCATCCCAGATCTTTAAAGGGATTACATACATAAAATAAGACCAAATTTAATTTTTCCAAATTAAAAACCTGACTGCAAACAGAACGAACTTCATACATTTTAACCAAACATCTACATTTGAAATTCAGCACTCTAGGTAAAGCAAATTCATAGCAGACACAATATCTTATTAGTATCTTTTATGTTAGTACATATAAAACAAAAATTACAGTTATTGAAAGAGAGTTTTATATCATGTTCCCAACATTCAAACATTCTAGTTGCTAACATTCCAAGCAAAATAACACCTACGCATCATTTTCCTGTGCAGAGGACAAATATAGCACATATTTAGAAAAATAAACTAAAATGAAATTTTTCTGATTCTTCTGCCTCCAGAGTTTGAAACCCTTACCAGGAAGTAGTATTCCAGATGCCAAACACTCCATTACTCGTCTCAAGGCCTCCCCAGCGCCCAAAGGTCTATTACAAGTACCTATAGACTTTTCACATATAAGCTCTAGTGGCTAGAAGATATTAAATTACAAATTAGTACATGCACCAAGTGTTAAAAGGATTCCAGTTAAATGTGAGCTGACATTTCTATCTACAATGGAGGCCAAAAAGGTGAAAGTCAACTTAATATTTAGGGCCCAATTAACTCTTCCTGCTTGATTTATCAACTTTTACCCCACCAGAGTTTTTAAATTAATCATTTTTGAGATAACATAGAAAACATTTTGTTACAAAAACTTCACTTTGGGCTACCCTGAAAGGATCACTTAAGAAACTGTGGTCATCTGGTTGATTTAACAAGCTTTATGTATCAGTTAGTAATAGCTAATAACTAATCAATGTTTAAACCCAGCCCACTTATCTCCTACTTAACCTAGGAAGCCATCAAACCACAATAAGACTTCACACAGCCTACCCCAAGTACTACAATTAGAATAAACAAAGGACCAAATCTCCACAGTTAATAAACTAAAAACGCATGTACTATGTCAGAGTAATAACTGCTTGATTAATCTAAAATAATCCATTAGAGCTTTATTTGTTTTATAATGTTCTTCACTGTGGTATTGATTAGGTCAAGCATAATAATTTCTAAATGAAGTAAGTTTTTGCACGATACATTATAAACCATGCCTGTAGTTGTAATAACTGTACTGTTTGCCTGACTTTACTTACTAAAACAACCATATTTTTAAATGTCTATACTCAAAGAGAAAGAGGATATGGGAGCCATATACAAGACATATCAGGTAATTTGTATTTTAAATGGAAGTAGCCCTGAAAGAGAAATGTGTCAGTCAAGGAGGCTTTCAGGGGCACTAGGTGAACAGTAATCAACCATCAGTACAGAGTAAAGTGCAAGAAGTCTCTTCTAACAGGCATAGAACCTTCTTGTCAGAAAAAATATCTCAGGCTCTGTTAACATGAATATGATGAGGTAGGAGGAGACAGGCTATATGTGTAAAAAAGTATCTGAAAAGATGTGCAATTTTTTTCTAGAACAAAAACAGGTAAGGCGCATCTAACTCAGACTGTAGCCATTTTACAGTAACGTGTAATTTCTACAGGATTTCATCTGACTATAGCTACAGCATTTGGTTTTAACCATAAGTACTTACCCATCCTTTTAATGGTGCCCATGTGGGAACTCTGTTGCACAAATCACGCAGAATACGGAGGACAATTACACATGATTTTAATCCGTTTGCCCTTGCCTAAAACAAACAAAATGATTCCAATATCCCTGTTGAAATCCAATCTTTATTTTAAGCACATGGGACATGGATAGGTTTTTTAAAGTGAATACTAATTATCCAGTCATTCATCAGTTGTCAAGCAAACCAAAAAATCAAGTTATTAAAAGTAGTAAAATTGTAGTTTAGAAAGGCAGATTTTAAAGAAGAGGAAGCATATTATTAAAATAGCTTTTATAGCCTCCTGGTAATCCCATTCTGGGCAACCATCTATCTTAACTTTCAGCTTTTCTCATCCCTGTTTGTACTTTATAAGCCATCATTTGAAATTCAGAGTACTAAGCCAAAAAAGATTATGTGATAATTAAACATCATTAACTGTAATAGAAGTTGTACTCTGCATTTTACCTAAATTAACTCATTTACTCCTAAAATAACCCTATGAGGTAGAAAGCGCCCCCATTTTATACATTACGTGCACAGAAACCATTAAGTGGCAGGTGTTCCAAATGAAACCTGCACAAGGCTACAATAACAATAAGATAATAACAAAGAGCCAACCTGAAACCATTTGGCATGTCGAAGAGACGCCAAGGCGTCCAGGCATTTCTGCCTGTCCAGTAAGTCCGGAGGATCTTTCATCGCAACCTTTTCTAATAGGAAAACGGGATAAAGAGAGACAGATACAATTTGACCAAGGGGTTCCTGTCAAATTACCAAAAAATAAAAATAAAAAGAAGAGCAGCATCTGAATGAACTAATAAGACTCCCAGAAGATTTCACGATTTGGTTTTGTTGCTTTCTTCTTAAATTACGTGCACGATGATTACATAAGTAAACAGTCATCAGAGCCATTCTGTGCACAAGTACAACAGGAGCACAAGAGCATTCATCCAGTAAACAAATACATGACCACTGCTACATACAATCTGGGATCTTATTAAGCGTATGTATAACATTACAGGGACACAAAATAGGTACATAGCACTTTTGCCTTTGGTGGGGTGCAAAGAGCACAAATCTGGGACCAGGAGCAATAACAACTTTCCTTTACAGAAGAATTGCTGATGAGTTCTTGAGGAAAACTGGGACTCTCTCATGTAATCAATTTGAAATTTACCAAGAATACACTGAGTATAATTTTTTTTTAACAACTAAATAAACTCATCCAACATGAAAACCCTTCACAGAAACTCTGCTCCACTGATAACTCTTCAAGCATCACCTTAACTTCTCTCATTACTTTCTTTTCTAAAACAAAATTATTAAAACTATAATAATGGAATACACTGGAATATTTCAGGTTTTATATACCCTTTTTTTAAGGGCAGCAAAGAATTGTATCTAATTACAGTTATCTGACTTGCCTTAACATTTTAAAGTTGGATTAGATGGCCCAGAGCAGCAGAAGTAAGAATTCAAACATGTGATTAATGATAAATATCCATATCTGAGAAGACATCACAATTCTAAATCCAAATTTGGATCATTAAATATATATTTCCTCTAAGCCACTAGGAAGTGAGTTTTTAAACGATATTTGCTGCAATATTTATAATGCCTACAACATACAAATATTTCCTGAGGAATCATTCTTTGTCTAATCCAATGCAATCAGATGCACCGTTCTCTTGTAAGAACTTTCGCAGATGTAGGAGAGTCCACCCAATGCTTTTTCCTAGAATAATCATAACAGTCACAGAGGCAGTATGTTTGTACGGGCCAAATGATACATTATAAATATTTTTAAATGCAACACAAGATCACTGATACTTTTTGGATTCCTTAGTTATTATAAGATTCTATTAAGGCACTGTACTATATATTCTGACAGACTGCCATTAACTAAAACCAAAAGCATGATGCCCAACAGAAAACAAATCTATGAAAGAATGAACTGTGGCTCTATCCGCTGCAACACTCGAAAGGCTAAAGTGCTACACACTTATTTTCTGACCAGGTGAGCTCTACAGCAGATATTTGCATTGTTTCACATTAACCTCTGCCAACAAAGCCACAACACAGGCTCTCATTCATTGCCCCATTTTACTCACAGAATGGGAAGCCTCAAAAAAACAACAAAAAAAAAACAACAAAAAAAACCCTATTAATGTAATTTATAAACACAGATATATTATGAATATGCAGCCATATACTGTGGGTGTTCACTTCACCAATGATCTAGTTCCTGATTTGCTTAATTCTTTTTAATAACATGAAACATACAATGAACTCATTTTAATGTTTTTAAGTCAAAATGCTTAACTGTAGTCAATACAAGCATCTGTGTAAAGCTCATGTACCAGATAAAACAAACTACTGTAAATGAATGATTAGACTCTCTTAAAAGTTAGACATGACAAAGGTTGACTGACTGCTAAATCATGTAATCTCAAGAAAAGGCATGGACAGTACTTTTATTTTTTTAAGACTTCGATCTTCAAATTAAAAGTGATGCAAGCTAAGTTTTATTCAATCATCTTAGTAGGAGTGTTTGGAAGGTGCGGGGCGGGGTGGGGGGGGGAGGGAGGGCTGCAGCGGGCAATGGAAGACAGGAGTGAGTCAGAGGAAGTTTGCATAGGAAAAGACAAGGCAAACAAAAGCTCTTTTTGACCTTTCTGGAACTTTCATCCAGTGGTTGCAGCTTATAAATAACATCTTACGCTCACTGCAACACATATATTTTAAAAGGGGAACAATGGCAAAAATATTTAGATAAATTCTTTCATCCCCAAGGTCAGATTATAATCACAAACTCTTATAAAAAAATAACAGACATCATCTTGCTACAGACAGTCAACATTTGGAGGCAGTAGATTCTGCTAAAAAGAGATGAAAGGCACAGGCAGTGAACAGAAGGCTTGCACTGGACTCCCTTCACATCACCACCAGAATGACCATGTTTCTTCATGCTCTCATAGTCAAAAAGTCCAAAGATCCAGAATGTTTCAATATTCATGAGAAAGGAAACAGGAGAGGAGATGTAATAGCTCATCTCATTTTGTCTTCTTCAAAGCTTATTTTAAAACAGTATAAATTCATATGGCACTGTAGTGTTACTTATAAGCCCCGCTTGCCTATTTGCTTTCTAGAAAGATAATATAGTTTTATGTTTTTTTTATTCATTAAGAAAAATAACATGGCTATCACAGACTTGCTGCAGGAAAAACAATGCTACTTCTCGTAGCAGAACCTGAAGCTTAACATTTCTGTACGAACTTTAACACGGGTGTTTCAATTTTGTGAAGAAAAACTTTTCTGATAAAAAGACATTTGGAGTCTTTAAATCACAAACAATGGTATGGTGAGCCATTTCATTTTCCTACAGTGACCAGTAGAACAGATGAGAAACAGCAGATGGGATGGGCTTGGCGAGTGACAAAAATGCCGAAAGCAAAGGCAAACAGCTTTTCCAGTAAACTGGCAGAGGGCATGAAGGTACATAAAACATTCTGAACAATGGAAGCACTGGAAGACAAGTCTACTATGCCTAACTTTGCTTATTTGGTTAGAGGTTAGATCAGTGACCAGAAACACACCACACTGCAGGAAATGTTGGTCAGTTTCTCTCAATCCCTTTCCATGCAAGCAAACCCTCTGTCTCTTAACAAAACACTGGCCTGTTTTGGGGTGGGGTGGGGAAAAGCCAGAACAGGACTGTGTTAAATGAGAATTACAGGTGTGGAACCTGGGCTCTTCTAAGGTAAAATAATTGTGCTGGATTATCATAAAGGCCTCCTTGACAATCTGGATGTAGCTGGGCTACTGAGTTCACGCCGACAGAATTTTCTAGTTAGCCTGAAGATATCCTGGCAGCCCCCTCTCTCAATTCTTGAGGCTTTGTGAGAGCAGATATTAGGCACCAAACCATTGTCCATGCAAAACATCTGGCCACAATAATGCAGACAGTCAAATGAGGCACTAAGGTAGAACAGAGAGAGCATTGTTCTCCTAATTTATGGCAGAAGTATCACTCGGTAACTTTTCTTCAATGCCTCAGTAGGCAGCCGGCCACTAGAAAGATAATGGCTAAAGATCTGCCCTGGATAGTGTGGGATCTAGCAGCTGTGGAAGGCAGGAAAATAAAGCCTACTGCATCATTATAATCCCAGTTGTGATCTCTGGACTGTGAGAATCTACTGCTTTCCACTTAGCAGGGCTCATGCTAGTGAGATGTGTCAGAAGTTATGTGAAAGGGACTCTGGGGCAACTTCTCTGTGAACCCCTAAATATTGAGGACAGAGGTTCACCTTAGCCTTAGCCACAAGAGTCGCTGTAGGCTCCCTATCCACCTGGTTTCACACTGCACTGTAAATATAATAAATAGCTGACTGACTACCCTCACAGCAAATATACTTCTTAAAATCACAAGCACTAAAAGAAGCCGAGACTGTATAAGGCTGAGCATAACTAAATCAGCTAAGAGGCTCCTACACTCATTCTAAAGAGTAATGTGAGCAGAGGGTACACTGGACTCCAAGTGGGAGGAGCTGGGAGAAATGGGAGGCTTTCTTCATTTATCAAACAGGGCAAGTATTTACCTCATAGGGCTGCTGTGAAGGTTAAATTATATATGAGAAAGGCTTCTAACGCAGGAAGTTATAAAATACTTTAACACAGCTAAATCTTCAATATATACTGCTTGAATATCAAGCCCATTGTTAATGCTTCTTACACACCAGACAGTCCTATTTAATCTGGCAATGTGCTTACTATAAAAATTCATTTAACAGATTTGGGTGGCCACCTACTATGTATTAGGTACCACTGCAGGCACTAGGGATAAAGGACACGGGTAAGGAAAAACATACCTACCCTTGACGAGCCATAACCTTTATAACAAATCAGCTCATGATTAGTGCTGATTAGCACTGCAGCAAATACAGAATACCGATTCTAATACTACACTTCAGTGGATGGTTAAGAGTTTACCTGTGTTTGGGTTCAGGTCCTCAGAGCTATCAAGTACATGCCATTCTCACTGTGAACTCAAGGCAGTTTGAGTGAGTGAGTTTGCACTGGGAATCTTTTTAGGAAGCTAAGTGTAACTACCACTATTTATTGAGCAAATACTTTGTGCTGGGTATTGTATAGCTCACATTACATAAATTCTCTCATTTGACCTCAAACTACTTTCTCAAGTATTTATTAGCCGCAATTTAAAATGAAGAAACCTGTCCGAGATCACACAGTAAGAATACCTAATGGAGTTAACGGGCGCCTGGGTGGCTCAGTCTGTTAAGTGTCTGACTCTTGATTTTGGCTCAGGTCATGATCTCACGGTTTGTGGGTTCAAGCCCTAAGTCAGGCTTTGCGCTGACAGCACACAGAGCCTGCTTGGGATTCTCTGTCTGCTTCTCCCCAATTGCACGTGTGCTTTCTCTCTCTCTCAAAATAAATAAATACACTTAATACAAATATATTTTCTTAATTTTTTTCATGTTTATTTATTTTTGAGAGACAAAGCATGAGTGGGGGAGGGGCACAGAGAGAAAGAGACACAGAATCTGAAGCAGGCTCCAGCCTCCGAGCTGTCAGTACAGAGCCCAACATGGGGCTTGAACCCACAACCCATGACATCATGACCTGAGCCAAAGTCTGACACCCAACCAACTTGAGCCACCCAGGCGCCCTTACACTTAATTTAAAAAAAAAAAAAAAAAAAAAAAAAAAAAAAAAAAAAAAAAAAAAAAAAAAAAAAAAAAAAAAAACCTAATGGAGTTAAGAATTGAACACCTGACTGCCAGGCACAAAGGTCTGTGCTTTTTCTCCAATGCCTTCTTTAGCAGGAAGCACATGGTAATGGGGAATGGTTATTCTACAGGGCCTTCAAGTAAAGGGTCAGAGTATGGCAAGAAGACTGACAGCACAGGAGGAATCTTACCTGTGAAACAGTAAACAATACCAAAAAGATTCACTCCGCAGTCTGGCCACTGAAAACGTAAACAGTGATCTGAGTGAATAGTTAGACCCACTTCTGCAGAGACAACCCTGAGGAGCTAGGTGTGATGTTTTCACCTGCCCCAGTCCTCTGCTTCTCCCTGCTTGCAACCATGCTTTTTTCCTTTAAGATTTTACCCAAATATGCAGCAAGTGAAGAGAGGGAAGAGAATGATGTGAATGTATATGTATTGTGAATAGTTGGTTTGTTTTGTGGGGAGGGGAGATGTTGAGATTCTATAGGAAAATGCCTCCTCAAATAAAGTTACATCACATATTGTTCTAAACTTTGAGAAAAAAACTGAGTGGACATTTTGAAAAGGGGTATATCTCTCAGTCTTAGAAATTTCTGGAACCCAAATGAATCCTGTACCTTTACCCCATGCAGCTGAAAAGAACTGCATCAAGGCAGGAGGAGTTGTCTGGTGTGAGGAAACAAGTCCTATAGAATCGTACAGCCCAGGTCTCAAATGCTCAGTCATGCTGGACCCTCAAAGTTGCTCAGGAATACCCGAAACTGCAGCGCAGATCAAAATGAATCTTGAAAAAGCCCAGGTTAGACAAAATGTGCAAATTATAAGAGATAACAGTGAGTCAACATAGCTGGGAGGTTAAGGACAATATTTGCAAAGCAAATCTTTCTTCCACTCAAAACGAGAGGAAGTAATGTGTTTTACACATTACATCCAGGCAGATTCTTTCACCTTATCTGATCCCACACAATAATGTTAACACCAACTGATGAGATTCAGCTCATAAGGGTATTGGGATCCCTTAGTAACCCAAACACCCTGAACAGAGACTATGACTCTCCCACTTTACTACAAATTCCATTCTACAATAACTAGTCTTCTAGTAAGGGTTGTGTACACTAAGAATTTGTTTCCAGCTTCTGTGAACAGAAATTAAAGTTATAAAGGTAACAGACTAAGCTTAAGGGTATCACAGAAAACTATGACATAATCTCACATAAGTACACAAAACCATGAGGAAAAAAAGAAAGCCTTATGTTATCTTAACATTATCAAAGAAATAACAAAAGAGATACCTACAGCTACAAGCAGATGTATAATTAATCTAGTCTTTGGCGATTTCAGTCTTTTTCTCACCTCTCTATACTATCTCTATTGTTAATAATACCTATAATTATAACTATTCTTAGAAGTGGTTGGCTTTACACTAGAGGGTCAAGTAGAACACAGCTTACCAGAAATAACAGAATTATCTTGACACTTCAGAAATCATTTTATAGTTCTACAGTTAATGGTGAACTGTAAAGCTGTTAAAGAAATTAAGCTGCTTAAGATTGGTTCTTCAGAGGTATGATAGATACTATATACAGCAAAAAAAAAAAAAAAAAAAAAAAAAAAGAAAGAAAGAAAGAAAGAAAGAAAAAGTACTGGCATAAATCCAATTACAGATTGGATGCACTTTAATTTTGAAATATGACTCATTATGTGTCTAGTTTATATCTGTGGGGTATGGTACAGCTGATTTTAGTTACCCCAAAAAACTTTTTTAAAAAAGAGTCTATCACTTTTACTTTAAGAGATCCTATGAGTCATGTCTGCCTAAACTCTAAATTCTAACATCACTAATGTGTCTTTTACTACACCTTTATTATCATCAACTTGACATAAATAAGGAAACTGACCAATATTTCTTACTGCACTGGTATTTCAGGGAGGGGACCTGCTGAATGTCTAGTGATGAAGAAACAGCAACAGGGAGTCCCCACTGGCCCAGAAAGGCCACACTGCCTCTAAACTGTCATGACAGAGAGGGGCCAGTTGGTCAAAGGTCTGACATAGGACAAATATCACATGGCAAGTGTTCCTAGGGATAGGACTGAGAGGCAGAAACAAGCTAACTTGACAGGATAAAAACATCAGAAAAAGAAGCCCATTATTCCTTCTCAAAACTGAATAGACTTCTCACTCTACTTTTATGAGGACGACACTGCCATCCATACAAGAATGCTTTTTAACTTCAGAAGAAAATTAATTTAAGGCGTAATTCCCACATATGTCATATATAGAATGCTAACGGGATGACAAACTTCCTAGAAAAAAATGTACTAAAGATTAATTTTTAGAAAACAATGCCCCAATTTATATCTCTTACATTATAAAACATATTTACACATGGACAATTAGGTAAAGCATAAATCTTACAAGATTATAATAGTTACTGGAAGTCAAAAGCAATGTGCAAATGAGTCATTTGAAACAAGTGAGTAAATTCGAAAGCAATATTTTTCTGGACATTTAATCCTAAAATCAAACTACAAATCCTCATAGCCAAACTACATAGAATAGATTGGCTGATACCAATCACAATGCAATAGTAGACAAAGTGAAACAAAATACTAAAGTAGTATAAAAACAAAAGCAGAGTTAAGACCAACATGATAATCAACAGATTTTTTGAATTAACGTATATCTCAAATGTATACATTTTTGCAAAATATGGCGATTATGCAGAAATAAAGCTTTTTAAAATACTAGGAGAGGTATAAAACAAATGAAGATAGTTACTTCTGAAATCCATAAAGCACACTTAACATAGCATTCAAGAGAGGTCTTACATGAACAAAACAAATATATATATACATGTGTACCTCCATCCTTCTTCTCCAATTCGTCCCTAATTAGCGGGGAAGTAAGTATCACCTTCAAAGTTAGCGTGGGCTCTTTTGTATTCCGAATTATAATAGAAGCCTCATCTACACATTGTTCCACTTCATATTTCTCTTCTGTGAGTTTCTGAAAGTCACCAAGATTTCAAAAACACCCAATTAGATTAAGATCTCAAAAAATGAATGACTCTTAGTTTTCAAATGTTATTAACTATCAGTATTACTGTGCTGGAGTAAAGTCTTTAATAGCTCTTTAGTTTAGGAAGACCATTTCTCTCTCCTCCCAACTTACCAACAAATCTTCTTTCTCCACCCCTCAAAAAGCAATCACAATGTCAACCATCTTTGCAATTATTAAACAATCTTTAAAACCATTCTTTCTAATATTTGAAAGTAAAATACCAACAGCATCATTATGTGATAACAGGTATACTGTTATTCTTGAAACTCTTACAGAGAACTGTACAATAATAAATTGCTGAGAATGCTCTCTAAGCCACATCCCTTTTTGACAGGACCATCTCAAAAGAACTCCTACTTGCTAAGGACATACAAATATAAAATTAATTGACTTTTATATAAGATTACATAGATTTTTAAAGAGAACTAAGTAAGAAAGAATGAAAAAGGATCTCTACATTGGCACTTACCAGGGAAAAAATCAGTATAAACAAGTAACTTCTTTTCCCAAAGAACAGGTAGGTCTCAGAGATCACTCCAGTGAGACCTATCATTATGGGACAAGTTACCTGACATCCATAGGAAAACACACTGCTTCATCTAACATATAATTACATACATGTAATTTAAGGGCCTCCCGCAAAATAATCAACATTTAGAATCACATATTAAATTACACTTAACATTATACATTAAACATATAGTTTAATAATTTATACAAGGTCTTTCTTGGTGGTGAAATTTATATCTATTACCTGACATAAATAGCTGAATGGAAACACTACTAGGTTTCTCCTCATTAGTGTGCACTAAAAGGACTCAAACCCATTTTCATAAAAATAGCATTCTGCCATTAAAACATTTATATCAAAAAAGATAGCAAATAGAAAATTCACTATCCTAATTTTGAATAGAGGAAACCAAGGAAGGGAAAGACCACACAGTAACTGGAAAAACCAGAACTAGATTATAGAGAAAAAGCAGAAAACTGCTCACATTGCCACTATAATAACAATGATGTGGAGCAGAGAATTAGTCAAACTAATTTTCACCTATGCATGCGGATCACCATGGTATAAGTTTTGGGTTCAAGGAAGTTCTAAAATCGACCTAGAAAAGAGTATATAGGGAAAAGGTATGGTACAACTTTAATTAATTAAGGTAGTTAGATTACTGAAAGTTTTCCTATGGTAAGTGCTAAGGAAAAAGATTTTTTAATTCATAAGAAAATAAGATCATTATCATATCAGAAACTGATTTTCCAAACAAACACCAAGAAAACGACAGGGAGGTAGAGAGTAAAGGCAGAAATCACACTTAAAATGATTTTCTGAAATATTAACCATAATAGTAATAATATGTGTGTTTGTGTGTATGTATATTGGCAAGTATGTGTACATGTATACAGTTTAATCTGAGATGGGGGTACAATTAATTATGTCCCCATTTCACTTGGATACCTTTACCCAAATACCTATAGTAATGGATCTAACCATCACACAAAGCAGTTGGTTTCAAGGGCTGGATAATACTATTGGCTATGTTAAAGTGAAATACCTCTCTCATAATGTCTACCACTGGTCTTAAGAGTTCAGGCCTCTTTTACCTTCTCTAAGAAGCCCTTCAAAGATCAAAAGGTATCTTTTTTCTTTTTTGTCTTCTCTAGCCTAAAAAGCCCCGGTCTCTTCAAATTTAAAATGGTTTACAGAGACTGCACTCTCTCCTGGGTCATTCCCTTGAACACTTACTTGAAAGCTCAACAAAAACATGTTAAAACTGTGGTGCCCAGAAATAAAGACCCTCGCCGAGGAGAGAAAAAATGCAGAGTTTACACAATTGTGATCTGCACAGAGAAAGTTCTATTACTGCAGACTAAAATTTGACCCAATCTCTCATATCAATACTGGAGACATGTGATAGATTTTCAGAATAAGAACTTTGGTTTGTTATAGTCCTGGTACCTAACCCCTTTTCCACCCTGGCACAGCTGAGGAATAGGACCACTCTCGTAAGAAACAGGACTCACTGCAGGAGCAGAAGTGGAGGTGGGATGGTTGAAAGCCTCCATGTCCCACCCTGGGACTACTATTTTTACCCTAGATTTGATTTAAGAGTAACAGGGTTCACCATAACAAAAGCAGGAATACAGATTAAATTTTAAAACATAAAATACAGAAATGAGGAATTTTATTAACATGCTAGTAATAAAAAGTATAATTAGCCAGAAATTCGTTATTGAGCTGTTTCTTCAAAGCCCTATTGTACTCCACGTTGCTCACCACTCTCCCTTCCCAAATGATAACAAACGGACTTAAAATAATTTTTTATAATAAATTTAACCCTTTGAAAGACCAAAAACATTTCTTCATGAGAAATGAAAATGGAAAGGCCAAATATATGCTCAGTAACCTAGAAGACCTTAAGATCTAAGGCAAAATGAAACAATAGTGCTCCAAAAATTAATATAGGTAAATGTGTCAATAAGTAACACAAATTTGAGTGCCAAGAACAGTAGATAAAAAAGTCAGGAAGGTGGTTTTGAAGATCAACTGGTAAATATGAAAGAAAATTATCCAGTAACAAAGCAAGTAAAAACAAATTTAGAATTCATATTACTTGGGGGAAAAAAAAGAGCCTGCTTACAAAAGAAACCGACTAAAGAAAAGAAAGCATTCAACTCAAAGGACTTTGGGGGACCTTGTGGGCTATTATCTACTTATGTGACATGAATATAAGGACTACCAATATGCAATCATCAAAAAGCTACAATCTAATTATACCACTGACAACACATCTATAACTGAAAGGTGATCACGGTTCCTCAAACAGTGATGCAGCTGGCCTTGGAGCAGACTGGCAGAGCAGGTCCTAGGGTGGCCACAGCCCCAGACCAACCTGTTGTCTTCAGCCCTGAGGAGCCTTCTGACTTCACAACAGCATTCGCCAAAAAGGCATGCCAACATCAAAATTTTCTAAAAGCATCCAACTGGAAAAAGGTTTGGAACAAGGAATTAACAGGGACTTTCCATTAACAGAATGAATGAATGGGTGACTATTAAATTAACTGAGTTTTCAATTTGAAAAGTTATCACCTACAAAAGTCTCTAGTTGTCTAGGCTCTTTTTGATCTTTTCTGCATTATACCACCCCTTCCAAGAGGTTTACAATGCTGAGAGACCTAGTCTGAAAAACATGAAGCCTCTGAGCAAGGCACACCTGAAAAGTGAAGGGCCATCTTAATCCGATAAATATATCCTGAGTGCTAACCAGCAGAAGTTTGTTTTAAATGTGATGGATGAGTCACTGACCCAGAGTAGCAGCATTCCTTTTGTCTGTACCCTACCCTTTACTATTACCAATTTCTTATCATTGATTCCATCAAGTCACTACCTGTTTTCACCTTTTTACAAATTCTCCTAGAGGTGCAATTAAACTGTACTCACCTGAATCTGAATAGGAAGATTATCTTTGACTGTATTTAACAGGGTCTCTGTGGGTTTGTCTTTGCACATTAAAACCAGCTCCAAGTCCATATCATCTTTAATCAGCAAGCCTTTTGCAACCAGGCCAATCCTCATCACACCACACAATGTCCGACCACCTTGATCCCTAAAAATAAAAGTCTAAATGATTACTTTTACAACCTATTTCTCAAACTATCACTTAATCATCACTTGGCTTCCTGGATATTCATATGATCAAAAATTAAGTCTCGGATTTAAGACTAATAAAGTATCTATCTTCCCTAAGGAATCAATAGGGAGCATATCTCATACTACAGATCTTTTAATTCTTTATTACATCTATACTGCTTATTAGCAAAGTCCTTAAATAACATTTTTTAAATTATTTTTAAACTTCCTCCTTTTATCTTTTTATTAGTAATTAAAGAATTTGTGAAAACCTGTTCACCAAAGTATACTGAAAAAGAGCATCAGGGTGGAAATTTAAAAGACCTGAACTCTACTCTTAGAGCAGAGTAGAGCCTGCTGGCTCATTATCCATAACTGCAAAACAGCTATCAGCTACATGAGCTTCTAGCTGTATCATTCTAGGAATCCACAAAAGATTATGGGGAAAGCAGAATAATGCAATGAAACTAAAAAGCTGAGGAATGAAGGAAGAAACCGAAGATATTCTGCCAGTATATGCATTCCAAATCCGGCTGTGGCTAAAAGAACAAACATTCAAAGAACATAGTCATGAACTAGTGCATCAAAATAATATGAACATCAATCCTTAATTTTAATACTAAAAATCTCTTATTGGTTCATTTCCCATATCGCAAAAATGTAGCTAATGTTAGCAGTCATTCAACAAGTAAGCCTTTGAGAACAGAAAACATACTAAAGGAAATCCAATCTCCCCTGCTTCTGAGGCTTACACTGTAGTTAAGTACAAAAAGTAACCTGCTTAAAAGGGACAAACTGTGTGTCACAAACTCTGATTTAAACTTCACAACAAGTTTGCATTTAAAAGACAAGGAATGTGAATCTCAGACAAGCTAATTGTTCAAGTTCAGAGAGATGGTAAAACACAAAGCCTGGATTCAAACTTAAGTTGGTGTAATCACAACACTCGGATTCTTTACATTGTTACGGTTGCTTACCAAGTTCAGAGAAAGAAGAGGTCAAAATTAGAGAGGTCAAGCAAGGCAATCTGAAAGTCTGACTTCAGCAGTCTTGATACGGTTAAAGAGAGAAAAGGTCATTCTGGCTAGGGCAGAGAATCAGCAGAGTGGAGAGTGGAGAGTGGAGAGTGGAGACTGGAGAGTGGAGAATGGAGAGTGGAGAATGGAGAGTGGAGAATGGAGAAGGGAGAGAAACAAACTGTGGCAGTAGAAACAAGACAGGAAGTTATAAATAATCCAGACTGGTTAAGTGGCTGGCACACCTTCGAGATGCAATAAACATTAAATCAATAAAAAAAACTGTAAGGGTAGTATGAATACAGAAAGAAAAAGGGTTTTAAAGCAAGTGATCCCGCCAGTCAGAGTGGCCAAAATGAACAAATCAGGAGACTATAGATGCTGGAGAGGATGTGGAGAAACGGGAACCCTCTTGCACTGTTGGTGGGAATTCAAATTGGTGCAGCCACTCTGGAAAACAGTGTGGAGGTTCCTCAAAAAATTAAAAATTGACCTACCCTATGACCCAGCAATAGCACTGCTAGGAATCTATCCAAGGGATACAGGAGTACTGATGCATAGGGGCACTTGTACCCCAATGTTCATAGCAGCACTCTCAACAATAGCCAAATTATGGAAAGAGCCTAAATGTCCATCAACTGATGAATGGATAAAGAAATTGTGTGGTTTAGAAGCCTGGGTGGCGAGCAGTCTAGCGTCGACTTCAGCCAGGTCACGATCTCAGCGGTCCGGGAGTTGCGAGCCCCGGCGTCTCTGGGCTGATGGCTCAGAGCCTGGAGCCTGTTTCCGATTCTGTGTCTCCCTCTCTCTCTGCCCCTCCCCTGTTCATGCTCTGTCTCTCTCCGTCCCAAAAATAAATAAATGTTGAAAAAAAAAAATTAAAAAAAAAAAAAGAAATTGTGGTTTATATACACAATGGAATACTACGTGGCAATGAGAAAAATGAAATATGGCCTTTTGTAGCAACGTGGATGGAACTGGAGAGTGTGATGCTAAGTGAAATAAGCCATACAGAGAAAGACAGATACCATATGGTTTCACTCTTATGTGGATCCTGAGAAACTTAACAGGAACCCATGGGGGAGGGGAAGGAAAAAAAAAAGAGGTTAGAGTGGGAGAGAGCCAAAGCATAAGAGACTGTTAAAACTGAGAACAACTGAGGGGTTGATGGGGGGGTGGGAGGGAGGAGGGTGGGTGATGGGTATTGAGGAGGGCACCTTTTGGGATGAGCACTGGGTGTTGTATGGAAACCAATTTGACAATAAATTTCATATATTAAAAAAAAAATAAAAAAAATAAAAAAAATAAAGCAAGTGATCCAAATAGGAAATTATTTGATATTAAGAAGAGAGTCCATCGCCTTTGATTCTTTCTTCTTCTGTATCCCTGTCCTCTCATCTTCTCATTCTCCCCAAACTAGTAATAGTGATGAATTCTCCCTCCACAATCACCCTCAAACAAATGCCTTCAAACTAGCTTCTTTTCAGGCTCGAAGTGCCTCTCACCTAGACTACCTCAATAACCACCTCTTCATTGGCCTTAACGACTAACTTCTGTCACCTCCAATCTACTATAGACAGTACACCACTACCAGAATAATCTTCCAACAGCACTGCATGGATGGCACTTTGCCTATTTCTTTCCAGGTGTCCCACTGAACACTTAAGTAAACATTTAGCATCCTGGGAGGCGACTGAGAAGACAACATGACTTCCTGGTCCAGATTCTGGCTCTGCCACTCACTATGGTGACACTAGGTAAATTACAAATTACCTGACTCTTCTGAACTTACTTTCTCATTTGTAAAACAGAAAAAAAAATACCTTCCTTACAGAGTGGTACTAAGAATATCATGTAATTTAATGTAAGTAATGAATTTAGCCCAGATCCCGGCATATATTAATAGCTCAATAAACAACAGCTATCATTCCCTAAATGGTCCCGATGCTTTCTCACACCTAGATCTTTGCTGAGATTTTTTTCCCCCTACTTTTCAGCTGCTTGCAGAAAGCCTAGCCATCCTCTGAGCCTACTGCAAATGCTACTTCCTTCATCAAGTTTTTTCTGGTCCCCAGAACCAGCATACAATCTCTCCCTGATCTACACAGTCACAGAAATTTGAGACAAAGATGCTAAGAAAACTGGACCTGTGGTCCAACAGATGAATAGGAATCCTGACTCCACCACACACACTCATTCACTGACCTAAAGCAAGTTAAAGTTTGTTAATGATTCTGAGCTACTCTTTTCATATGCAAATTTGAAGCAACTGAAAATTCTATAGTAAAATGGGGGCAGAAGAGGGAAACGATAATCACAGAGACTAACAGATTTGTCATAACATAATATGAAAAACGGTCTGGGTAACTGGCACTCAATAAATGCGAGCCATTATTAACTAACCACTATTACTTGCTACTTAAACTCTATATCATAATTAGGATACGCTTGGTCTTAGGCAGAAGACAGCAAGACTGAGCAGAGAAATGAACTCCAACTTTAGTACTGAATTTAAATATAGGAGATATTGTAAAGCAAACACAGGGTATTACTTAACATTAAGAACAGAGCCCTCATATTCCTAATAACATAAATAGTGGGACCTCTCTTTGACTTTTGAGTAGTCTGTAAAACGAGCACACGGCGGGGCGCCTGGGTGGCTCAGTCAGTTAAGCGTCTGACTTAAGCTCAGGTCATGATCTCATGAACTGTGAGTTTGAGCCCCGAGTTGGGCTCTGTGCTGACAGCTCAGGGCCTGGATCCCGCTTCGGATTCTGTGTCTCGTTCTCTCTCTGCCCCTCCCCTGCTTGCACTCTTTCTCTCAAAAATAAACAAACAGTAAAAAAAAGTTTAAAAAAAAGAAAGAGTACACAGGTACAAGCTGCTTAACAGTGCCTGGCAATAGAAGGTGCTTAATAAATAGAAGCTAGCCCTCACCCACTTTGGTGCCCTCTATAGTAATTAGCATACATCAGCAACTCAATTCGTGTTTATGATCAGAAAACAGCTCTGTTCCTGGAAGATGTGCCTGCCTCTGTTTTATACAAAATAAGGATCCAAACATTCTGCACTCCCTGAGCTCTACCACATGGGAGGAACTGCAAAAAGTGCTCAGCCTGGGATTGTTCACAAAAGGGAAAGACTTTACAAAGACAGTCAAGAGTACCCACACATAGAGCTATATTTACAAGTCCAAATGAAAATGTGGAGCACATTATCTTTTAAAAACTTTTAAAAACACAGTGACCTGATCCAGTTAAGCAAAAGTCTGCTGGAACACTTTTCAAAAGTCTGTCCAGCCTTAAAAATAAACAACGGAAGAAGTAATAAGAAGGCCTGAATTCCAACAATAAATGAAACTCCACTTAAAAATGGGTAAGCATCTGGGGCACCTGGGTGGCTCAGTCAGTTAAGTGTCCAACTTCAGCTCAGGTCATGATCTCATGGTTCGTGGGTTTGAGCTTGGCATCAGGCTCTGACAGTTCAGAACCTGCTTCAGATTCTCTGTCTCGCTCTCTCTCTGCCCCTCCCCTGCACGCACTCTCTCTCTCTCAAAAATAAATAAACTTTTTAAAAAAAAATGATGAATCGTCTGACTCTTGATCTCAGGGTTCCTGGGATAGAACCCCACATTGGGCTCTGCACGACAGCCCAGAGACTGCTTGCGATTCTCTCACTGCAAAATGGTATGGGGCACCTGGGTGGCTCAGTCGGTTGAGCATCCGACTCCAGCTGAGGTCATGATCTCACGGCTCCTGAGTTTGAGCCCCGTGTCGGGCTCTGTGCTGACAGCTCAGAGCCTGGAGCCTGCTTCAGATTCTGTGTGTCCCTCTCTCTCTGCCCCTCTCCCACTCATGCTCTGTTTCCTTCAAAAATAAACATTAAAATTTTTTTAAATAGATAAATAAAAATAAAATGGAAAAAAATGGCAAATTTTGTTATACACATTTCATCAAAATTTTAAAAAAGTTTTTGAAAGGGCATAAACACATTCCAAAGTACAATTTAAATATGGAGTGCAATGACTATTGCACAGAGACTGGGGCTAGATTACTGGATTCTATTACTAATTGACATAAGCCTCAAAATTTGGAAGTATCTACTTTAAAACCGTAATATACAAGAAAAAAATTACTGCCAAGAACCTTCAAACTGACAAGGGTAGGACTATACACAATGTAGACATTACCTGCAAAGAGTTAACAAGGTTAAAGAATTATGTGGTTCAACTGAAAACTGAAACTGATTACCTTGCATCTGAAGATGAAAAGGTTACACTGTCAGTGAAGAAAATCAATTTATCAATACTTGCCCACTATTCTTTATCTATTTATCACTTTTGTTTCTTTGTTTATTTCAGAGAGAGCGCGTGCACACAGAGGGAGAGGGAGAAAGAGAATCTTAAGCAGGCTCTGTGCTCAGCGTGGAGCCTGACACAGGGCTCAATCCCACAACCTTGGGATCATGGCCTGATCCAGAATCAAGAGTCAGACGCTCAACCGACTGAGCCACCCAGGCATTCATCCTCTTATTTATCTAACACTTAGAAATGAAAGCTGAAGAAAAAATTCTATAACCTCCATGTTCAATTTATAAGTTGCAGCCAAAGCAATGCTCTTAATCCTATAAATACAGTAAGTCAAATGAGCTTCTCCTTTAAAGTAAATCATACTCATTCCAATCATAATGACACTGCTCAAGACAAGAAGCTTACTATTACGGCACACAGAGTTCCATGATCTGATTGCAGTTATCCTACGGCTTCATCTAACTCATCTCTTACTACAACACTGAGAATACTCTGCTATAAAGCTGAAGGCTCTGGATCCCATTAGTCCTTCATTCATTCCTCAAATACCCAATGAGCATTTACTAACTGCAAGACACTGTGCTGAACACTAGGAATCAACAAGGTAGATATGGTCAAAAATACATTTAGAACACATTTTCCTGCATTCTCTCTTTTCCACCAGGATTTTTAAATACCTTTAAAAAAAAATGACATTTTATGATTTCCCCAGAGACCCAAAACACAACTATTTATTTCTGAATTTAGGAGGCTAAGCCAACACATGAAAAAGGTGACATTTCATAATCTCCAGAAATGACAGTTTTAAAGGGCTTGGTGCACTCTCAAAAGGCATCCTGAACAAGTCCATCCTCTCTTTCTGGTCTAATTATTATTCTTTTCTTGCTTTCGTTTCAAATGTAACTCAGAAAAATTCCACAAACATTTACTTCCTTGTCTACGGTCATATAAATGAGAAAACCTAAACAACCTAACATAGCCCAGTGGAAGAGAACCCTGAGCTTTTCTGAGCGCTGCAGTAAAGCACCACAAAGGTCAGGCCACACTCACTTGGAATAGGTGTCTACGGCCTCATCCTTCTTCACTTCTGTCTCACCCTCTGCTTTTGTGCCTTTATTTGTTTCATCAAGCCAATCTGAGACATGTTTAAGAGCACATTCAACAGTAGACACCATATTCTGAACAGCTTCAAGTTCCTCTGGAGATGGATAGATTGTTGAATGTTTCACCATTACATGGCGATCATCATTGGCAAAAGATCTAATAGATCTCTGTCAGAAGAAGAAAGAAAACAATTACTTCAATACAAGGAATATTACCTGAAAAGTAGGATATGCAAATATTGAATATTTAAGTCAAATCATAGCATTAATTATCAAACTACTGTGAAACAATTAATGTTGAGACAATAAAAAAATTGCACAGGAATATGAAGAAAAACCTCATTCTACTAAACCACATCAGAAAATTAGAGATCCCAGGGCACCTGGGTGGCTCATTCGGTTAAGCATCCGACCTTAGCTCAGGTCATGATCTCACAGTTAGTGAGTTCAAGCCCCGAATTGGGCTCTCTGCTGTCAGGGCGAAGCCCACTTTGGGTTTTATGTCTCCCTCTCTCTCTGTCCATCCCCTACACCCTCTCTCACTCATGCCCTCAAAAATAAACATTAAAAAAAGAAAGAAAGAAAATTAGAGATCTTTCCTTCATGTTTTGGCTAAGATTCATCCAGGTTACTCTTGGTATAATGCACATTACCGTTTACCTCAAATCTAGTGTTTTGAATACCACTTCAAAAAAGGTCATCTGTATCACACATCATCTACGAGAAACAGATACTTCTTAGCTTTGAGAAAGTATCTAGAAATGCATGATGGTGACTCATGATAACCAGTCATTCCTTTCCAAATTGCTGAGGACTTTGGCACCTTAAAAAATTGAGATTTCATAATACAGTAATAATATAAAATACAAAGTTAATGTGTCAACACTATAGAAAAACTATGGATCACATTAGAAATCTATTTACTGGGCGCCTGGGTGGCGCAGTCGGTTAGGCGTCCGACTTCAG